TAATTATGTAGTGGTGAGGTAGTGCGTGGGATGTTAAGGTATCAGCCCGAAAGGCTTGCTTTTTCAAAACTCGGTTTTTCGATAAGAAAAGTGAGATGTGTGGCTAAGACTTTCAGTGGGCATACTTTCTGATAACACTGCTTAACCTTTGCTTGCTTATGCGTATGGTGTGTGTGCATGTATGTATGTATGTATTTATCTGCATGCATCCAGTGGCGTTTTTTTCCTTAACCTGATCCTTGATTTGGTTGAATAGGCCACAGGTTCCTTCATAACCTTTCAGGAAACTAGGAAAAGGTGAAATCTTTCTCTTGATGCCCGTTTTTTTCATCATTGCTCTTCCTTTCCATCTAAACTTTAGTTCCATTATTTTCTAGGAATACATTTCCTTTTTCAGGATGTCCTTAAACAGCAGATCAGCATCAGCCTACTATTATTCCGAGGAATAGTTTCCCTTGTTGTCAGCCGCATGTTCTGTCATCTTTCACATTCTGTGATAATATAGTTATGGCGATATGTACTATTACAAAAATGTTTTCAATTCATTTTTTATCATTCTGTTCTATCCGCGCAATGATCCTTGTTAGAATATCCGTTCTATTTTTATCTAGAAACAGCTAGAGGACATTAAAATGTAGAAGCCATATGAATTTGATAGCACTGATAATTGATTTTAATATAAGGCATTCAAGGATAAGGCACTTTGAGTTGTAGGAGTCCATTTCCAAGCATATTTCTCTTTTTGAGAAAAGGCTGAATTTGCTAAACGACAAGTGCATAGCAAACGTTTGTTTATGTCGTCAGACTGATTTCCAAGGACTTTTGTTTGCCCGAGAGTGAGGGAGTATTGCAAAAACAAACATCTATTACGTCACATGAACCTAAGCAACCGGTTCAAAGTGGTATTTGTTGTTTGGTAAATGAAGCTCTAAGAAGCAAGTCATTGAATACAGATTACCTTAATCTTTCACGCCTCTGTTAAAATCATATCAGCCATAGGTGGTCGTTCACCTCATTTTCTCAACTTCCCTGTTTGTTGAACAGTGACATTTTTAGTAATCCTGAAAAGAAGGGCAAATGTGAAAAATTCGGTTAAAGTATTTCTATACAAAAATGCTTGCAAGAAAGTGATGGTGGTCTATTATCCTTACCTGGCTTAGAATTGTGACAGCTGTAAAAGTTGCATCAGAAGATAAGCGCATTGGTCCGGAATTGGAGTTGAGGAATCAAATGATAGAAATTCTCATTTTGTATATAAAACAGACTTGATAGTCCGCAACAATTATTAGGACACCAAGCTCGAATGTAATAGTTCATTTGTTTTCTAGTTGATAATTTCATTTTATTGATTCACTGTGTGCGATACTAAAACGCCTCATTCATCCCTAGAATTGTTCGACATTTCGTAAAATTTTAGCTGCACAAAGTTTGTAAGTTGTGCTGTTAAGAGTAGCAATACGAAATAGTACCAATAACATCTCGGCTGGTATACTTCTGGGTACACTGTTCCAAATCATATGAAAACTATAATAACTGCTACTCTACGTTGGATATTATCTTTCTAAGGAAACCTGTGAGGTATGAAGTCTGTATTCAGTAGTTACTTTAACTTTGTAGTTTCTTTGGAGCAGTTTAGTTTTATTTACAACATCTGCTCTTTTCGTGTTTGCTTTAGCGTAAAGTATCAATTTTTGGTTTATAGTTGGCTGGCTTATTCCTGTTTCAAATCTAATATCTCTCGAACGCGTTGAGATCAGTATTGTTGGCGAGCCCAGATGCTTCCACTGTATCAAGATTGACCTATTTTTATGTGGAAGCCATATAAAAAAATGATGCGAGTTCGTGCAATGGTTTCATCTTCAACTTTTATGGATGAAATAAATTCAATTTGTGAGGCGATACGTAGAACTACTTCACGTTTGTTGTCATATGTTAATGGAAATACTGAACTAGTGACCGGTTGGCCCAATGTGGCCTCTCAAGTTGATCAGACTGGAAGTGATAAATGGAATAAATAAAAATGACGTAAGTGAAGTCCATGTGTCAGCGGGTATTGCAATCACCGGCATTTGTCATTAATTTTAAACTTTCGCTACGCGGTTGCCAGAAAAAGGGGCTCCTTTCTCTTCCCATCCTCTACATGATCTCATCTCAATCATCATCCATTGCTCTGCTGCTCACTACTACTACTTTGCTGCTATTGCAAAAATTGGAAGTGAGGGGCCGTCACATCTTCCTTATAGATATCATTATTTTAAAGAATTCCCAACTCTCTTCGCGCAGGTATAAGTCATTCGAAAATTTAGCTGACTCTTCTGTGCATAACGTTTAAATCCGTGGAGAGTAATCATCACTTTTTCATCAAACTTCCTTTTTGATTCCTGATAAACTTTTCGATCTATGAAGTTGTAAATTATAAGACCACACCATCATTCAACCAACCATTATAGTAAAGATTACAGTGGAATGGAGGACAATCCAAGTTTTGTTTTACTGTGGTTTGCAAAATGTTGCATCTTTCTTGCTCAAATAAATGAGTGCTGGAAGTGTTAAAGTTACATACATATATACTCCTTGCTATTCTGTTCAGCCCAAATAATGTTAAGCATTTTTCCTTTCCTGTAACACAGTTGTGATTAATTTTCTGTTCAAAAACATTTGCATCAATGTTTACAAGAAGCTTGGCGCTATTAAGTAATCATTTGAGTGTTCTTACCTGTTCTAATATTGTAAAAAAATCGTTCTTTCTTCTGAGCTTTTGCAAAAATTATTTGAACAAATGTATTATTGTAATTGTTATCTGGTACTATGAAGTTAAAATTAGCTACTCTTATGAAACCTCGGGTCTTTTCACCTTACAGTCTTACATCGTAAGTAATTATTTGAAAAAGGACAGTATGAGAGAAAACACACTTTTGGTTCTTTTCTATTGCATGACCTTTTCGTTTATTCCCAATTATTTGCATTAGATTTATCAGCGCTTTTCTCGAAAATCTATATTTTTTTCGAAGCCGCAGTAATGGTATTGTATTTTAGATAATTGTTGTTCAGAACCATCACAGCAGCTCAAAAATTCAATCTGTTCAACGAAGCTGCTAGATCTGGAAGCTGGGAGCGCTCTAATTCTGGAATTTCAGGAATGCATGTTTTGCATTTTTCAAAAATGTAGGTGGATGAGGGACTTTGAAAATTCTTGTTTTAAAAGCTTTTCGAGACTTTGCAGATAGCAACAGTTGGCAAGAAATCTAGCAATAGACTGGAAGGGAAGTTTTCTGTAAGTTACATACTTACGGTTTCTTTGTGATTTGGAACTCCCAGAACAGATCGTTTGTTGTGTTATATGCATCTTGTAAGAATCTCTATTATAGTTTTATTATAGTCTCTATTATAGTCAATTGTAAAGGCCGGTCGAGGGTGATTGTTACATATAGATTGTTTTAATTACAAATGAATCAATTTTATCTTTAAGGATAAATGCATTCTTGCTTGTGAAATGATGATGAAAAGATAACAGGGTGACAGTTGGCAAATCCTCGAAAGCAGTTTGCGGGTGGGAAAGTGGATTGAACATTTTTCTGTCATTAATTTTTTTTATTCGTTTCAAAGTCGTTTTAAGCAAATAGCGGAGGGTAGTTTTCAACTTTTCTTTTTTGTTAGAAGAACATTGGCTCTTGCTGCTTCATAATTCTGGTTATTTCAGGGACTGGAAAAAGCTCGAACTTCTAGGAGGAGAGGAATTTTGAATTTTGATTAGGTCGATATATATGTGTAATGGTTCCATTTGTGCACATCACATGCCAATTTGTTTTAGTTTAGTTTGCAGAAACAAATATTTTTGAAGAGAGTACGAATACTGATAAATGTTTGGGAGGGGTTGACTTAGCGCGGACGATATATTCGTTCAAAGTATGAATTTCGGTGTTAATTATGTCCGAAGATCTGCTGTTTTGATATGATGGTACCATTGTTGGCGCCGTATCTATTTAATGTTTTTTAAGCGAATGTGTTTTTTTGATCTAGCCAGCATTTTGGTTATCGTTTAGTTATCGACTGATAAAAAATATATTCTTACAAGTGTGGCTTAGTATTGCTGATGTCATAATTATTCGCTACAATATATTTTTTCCTTAAATTTCCTTCAGCCAGTCTTATTTCCTTCAAATTATCGATTGTTTCACCCAAATTTTAACACAGCATGGTATCTAGGAGATGGATCTTGTGAATGATGATGGTACACCTCTTTATAAATATTATATATCAATCTGATGTTCATCATCACAAAGATCTTCCACATATCGTACTCTTTTTTTATATCGATTACAAAAATAAAAGAAACGGCTAACCGCCGTCAATATCCTTTCACTTCTATAGCATATAACACGTATGTTATCGACGATGTACCAGAGGTTTTTACAATTTCTAACGTTTGTTGAATCTATTAAAAAGGAGGGTAAGGTCGAAAGAACAACGAGAGTTATTGCTGTATGCATAGTATGCTTTTATACAGAACACTTCAGGTTAGGCTTTAGACTTCAGGATTTCTGTTCGCATAGCTTAAATCCTTTGAACTAAATGAGAAGGGGTTTTAGATTCATTGAGATGGTTTTCTCACCCATTGATATCATTGTTTGTTTCAACTATGCACCGTGATTTGCATATTTAAATTTTTTGGAGCTCCTTCTCGCCAATTTTCAAATTTCAGGAATTTGCATAAAGGAAGAGTGCGTCGCAGTTGCAGACGAACTAGACAATTGTTCCTGCACAGAAGATATCTTTCCCTGACGGAATCGTATTTTACCCCGTGAATTGTCAGCGATCATTGCTGGCTATTACTGTGCTGCTGTAATCCTAGGCATTCCTTGTGGTGCACGCTGGCATGCACCATCCGTGCACGACAATCTTCCCGGGGTTGTCTTTTCTTGGTGTATCGTTACCCTATTTTACTGATTTTAATTTGTTTCTATTTCTGAGGTTGCTACAGCCGGTGTCACTGTTGGAAGATGACATTTACTAGTGACGACGTCAATTTCATCATCTACAGATATCTACATGAGTCGGGTTCGTTTGTGTTTAGTCTTTTTTTACCACTCATAAAACTTCAATGAAATCGTTCGTTACGAAATAAATTATGTGTAATCCCTCGACAAACAGTAGAGAACAGTAGCCCATTTATTTCCTTCATATGCTGAATTTGTTGCGTTCTTCTTTGCTTTTTTGTGCGGAAGTGCAAAAAAGATTTATTGAGAACATTTTCATTTGCTGCAGTCAATGTTGTTTGGCATGACCGGACAGTATAGAGGCGGGGGAAAGAGACCATATTTATATAGGCTTTATTGGTTTGAAATGGATTTCATCGGAATGAGTTCATAAGATTTGGATTTCATTGGAATAAGTTCATAGATTTGGATTTCATTGGAATAAGTTTACAAGATTGCATTTCCATTCATCAGAAGGTTGCGAAATGTGCGTTAAATAATAGTAGTACAATGCATAAAAATGAATGGATAACTGTGACTAAACATGAAACAAAACTGTTATGTAATCTGCAGTGTTGATAATTACATTGAAAATTGTATATGTGTCATGTTTATCATGTTATTGTTTGTATTTATATAGAGGGATGTAAGTTCTTGTTTGTTATGAGTTGTAGGTTAAGTAGTTATATAATTTTGGATGTTTAATTGAATTAAAGTATTATGATTAAGCAATAAATATCTGACTGAATTTCTCAAATCTTTCACAATCTCTTATAATTTTTTTCAAATACTCTCCAGTTTCCTTTGCTCATTATGAGTTTCTTTTCAAATAGTCCAAAACAAGAATAGTCTCCAGATTTATGTGTTCTAAATGTATGTTCATAAAGATTTTATTTCATTAAATCATTGAGAAATATCAATCATGAAATAAAACTTTTTTGTGATATAATTTTCTAAATACAGGTTTTGTGCATACGGCTTACACATTTGCCAATGAATCACGTGTTCTCGAGTCTGGAGCTGCGGGTAACGATGTGCCCATGGGTGCTTTAATTAACATCATACAGGTCTTTTTTTATTACTTTTTAGATCTGCTTCCATTGTTAAATTTTGTTATCCGTCAAATTATAAAAGAGATCGGTGAGATAAGTTATACTTCAAGGATTTACATTATGGATTTTCGAAGCAATTATTTTCATAAAAACCTTGTTGCCATTAAAATTAGACCAAATTCTGAACACTGCAGAAGGGTATTTATTATACGGAAGCTGAAGCATGTGCTGTGGCAAGCACAAGTGCCGCCGGTGAGCCACGAACTGAAAAAGCGATAGTGGAAAATTTGTCTCTGCTTGAAGCAGGTAATCGTTTCACTTTGACTAAAATTTAAGACACTCGGTTTTCATCGGAAAAAAACTATTTTTTAGACTATTCGTAAGATGCTGGCATTAGAGCATGCGACAACTCAGTTTTAGTTGTAAAAAAAGTTTCGAATAATGAGACCCATTTTCCCAGCAAAACTGAGAGATGTTTATAAAGGGATTGACTTAGTGATTTCATCCTCCACTTATCCTTGTTTAAAAAGCAAGCCATGTTCTAGTTACCTATGAACTGTATGCAAAAATAGCGATGTTAAAACCTTAGTCAAAACTCAAAAAAAGAATAAATTGTAATTTCAATGCAAGATAAGAAGCTTTAAAAGATTATTGTTATTCGATCACAGAAATGTACTACTTGACTTGATTGAACCAAGAGAGTCATTTCTTAACATCTCTCTATTGTTTAATAATATTCCTAGTATTGTGATGATATGGTCCTCTGAAAAAGGACTGAAATTGACTTAATATCTCCGAATTCCTTGATAAGTTGGAGTTTTTTTTTTTTGATTTTCACTAATCATCATATTAAAAGCAACTGAATAGTAAAGCTATGAGATAAATTTAAAGTTCTGTATTACCTACTTGCACGTAAGTTTCCATATTATCATATGGTAATACAGACTGTACGGAAACTTACATGCAACTAATTTAATTTCAAAAGTTGCTGATTAATAATTTGACGTTTATATGGAATATGAAAATCCAAACTTAGAGGAAAAAACACTATAAAGAAAAAATAACAAGTAGTTTTTACCAGCATTCACAATTGAAGGCTTTTATGCTGCAAAATTAGAACTGAGGTACAAAGTATCAAAAATGCTATCTGATCCATTAGGTATGTTTTTAACAGACCTTGATAATTATACGAAAAGTGAATTATTCCATGTTGGACAAGTATATATGGCAATTACTTTTTATGTTAGACGGGTTTTTATTCATGAAGTGGTGTTTTCATCCTTGTACTGAGTATGCAATAAATTCGCATATGTTTTAGTTCTGAATGAAGTGCCGAGTAGTAAAGTCAAGGAGAAGCAACAGGACAAGTTGATGGTGATAAACCCAACCTTTAAGGATGATAGGCAGCAACAACAATCAAGAGATAGGGAAATGCGCGAAGCTCATGGTGAAAAACAAAACTATTCGATCTCAAAGTCGAGAGAGTTAAAGGTTTATAATATGCCAATTTACAAATGACATTTATTTTATACAAGAAAACTGCAGTAGATTGATTACTGCTTTGTAGTTGGTGAATCTTTTCTGGATCTTTATTTTCAATAAATAAAGAGATAAATCAGAATGAAAGGGAAGATTTTGGGATTTATTTGATGTAGTTAAGTTCTTAGTATGGGACAAAAATATAGGTAAGCTTCTAATATAGGACATACTAGAAAAATTAGAGTAAAAAAATCAGAAGCCCTCTTATGTATTTTGTTAATTCGTAATTGGTTCTAGGTCGCAGCTTCAACTTCGGCAGCATTAATATCTTTCGGCAACATCGGCCAATCCCCTGGTGTAAGTGGTGGTAATGGTAGCGGTTCAAATCCAAGTATTATGGGATCGCCTACAACCAGTGCATCAGCATTATTATCTAACAATCATCAGCAGTTTCATTCTGCCACCGCTAGTATTACCGGACAGCCGACGCTCACTTATCCACATCATGGAAAACAGTTTTTTCTGGAACGGGAAAGGGAATCACGAGATCGGTCACAAAATGGATTAATGGGCAAAGCTAAAGTTGCTGCTGCTGAGTTTCGTGCTGCCCAGGCGAACAACGGGTATTTTTTTTTTAAATTGTCATTTTGTCTATCGTTATGAAGAATTTTTGAATATCAGAATTATTGGCATACAAATTCTTAGTTCGGATGCACCGTCAAGTAATGTTTTGCATTCTTTTTTGACTGCTTGCATTTGCGTCATTTTTTATAATGAAAAGCGCCACTGCCGCGATTAGGCACGACTATAAATTAATATGATACTAAGTGTCCTATTAAATATTCTTTTATGGGTTCTAATATACTTTTGAAAAGTCAGTAATTGTTATACTTCTAGTTTAAGGATTTAGCTGCGTTTTCATGGGAATGAGTCGCTGAAAAAAAATCAGTTTCAGGAGCAATGTGTTTGTGTTAAGAATAGGTCTCCTATGTTTTCTTTTACTAATCACGCTTGTGTAAATTCTTTGAACACACTTATGTGGTTATACGGTCACGCTGTGATCATAAAGACAAGAGTCAGTCCGACTGGGAATGTTGACAGTTAAGGAATGTTCGGTTCCATAATTTTTGTCATGAAATTTTGAGCAAAACATATGAATGATTATGGTTCTTTATCTTTGTTGTGCATTTGCAACAGTGGAGCCAGTTGCATTTTATTGCGGTAGGATTTTTTGTTAATTTAACATAACAAAGATGCAAAATTTGCAGCGACTTCAATGGAACACCGATGGAACTTGATGGTTTAAAATCACGTGTGAACAATGGTAATGGTATTCTTTCAACTGCGCAGCTAGAAAATCGACCATATGAAATTAGCAGGGATAAGGTGATTAATAAATGCTCGCAACTCAACATGGCTGCTTTTAGAAGAGGGAACAAAAAGGATGTTGCAGAGCAAAAGATTCAGTGAACTATTGAGCTGTCACCTCCAAGTTTTATCTTTTCAGGATTTGTTTATTTAAGGTACGATATCTGAAGGGACACGATAGCGAGGTATTTATTTGTACGTGGAATCCAAAAAATGATCTCATAGCTTCTGGGTAAACTTTGAAATTCTTCAGATTTAAACGCTTAACCAGTCAATAGGAACGAAATGTGTAAATGCTAGGCAATGTCGTTCGCGTTTCCTCTCCGATATCCACCCAGCTTCCGGGAAGACTGCCACAGGTTTCGAGGCCAGTTAATTTAATCAAATCTGGTTGCTAAAAGACAGCTACACAAAAGTGACTGAACGACCATGGGTCCTATCATGTAAGAGCGGGTAGTTTGTGTTTATCCTAACTCTGGTGAGAATTTCGGATTAAGAAATACGAAATTGTTTTGTCGTTTTTGTTGAATTAAATAGATCCCAGCCATGATAAAAATGATTGACCGTGCCATATAATTAGTAAGAGCTGAATCCATAATGTTAAACAATATCATTTCCCAGCTGAGACACTATCCATTTTTCTGATTAATAAAGCATGACCAACATTTAAAGCATTCTTTAAGTACTGGGATTCATCTGAATGCGGATTCACATATACGGACATCATTTTGTACCCTACTGCTGGTGTAAACTTTAATATATATATTGTAGGTCCGGTGATAGTACGGCACGTATATGGAATGTACATGGTTCAGAGCTAGCAACAATGTCATGTCAAGCTATTCATGATAATTCAATAGTGCTCAAACATTGTATGCAAAAAGATGACAAAAATCCTCCTACAAATAAGGACGTTACTTCTCTTGATTGGAATGTTCGTTAATATTTTTTTTCTTGATGGATTTTCTCAAATACTGCATTCTGTGATGGTAGTATTTGCTCAACTGTCATCTTGTTTAAGTGTTAATAATTTTTGACTTGGCACAGTCAAGCCTTAATTAGGTTAGAACATGTTTAGCTGGACTTGTGATGCAATGTTTTTTGAAATAAAAGAACTTTGTTTGGTTTCCGCGGCGCCAAGTGTTGCAGACGTAAATTTTAGCGACAGTATCTGGCCTTTTACCAAAAAGCATTTAAGTGATGCTTCTAATCTGAGTGTACTATCATCTCAAAATTACATTTAATTGAAAAAGAAAGTTACTGGAAGTGGGTATTGCCTTTCTTTGTATGATTATATTACTTAAAAAAAATTGGTTACAAAGATTTTAATTATGGCTGCAGGAGGTTGACATAAAAAACTATTGTGAAGTGAAATTATTCCTAAAGAACAATGTAACATTGGGCTCCGTAGAGAGTACCAAGAATTTGAATCCTGACGAAATATTTTTGGAAAAGTTTCTTACATTAGTGGATTCACAGATCCAGATAGCACATTTCTGTCGTCAGTGTTATCACGATTCATACATGTTATTATACTTCAATATTTTTCAGTGTACAGGTGATTTACTTGCAACAGGATGTTATGATGGTTATGCGCGCGTTTGGGCTACCGATGGTGAGTTGTGATATTCATTGCTATTTCATTAGTTTGTTTTTATTTTGATGAGTGAAGTAATTCATATTCAGCCTTTATTTCAGGAAGGCTGCGTTATACGCTAGGAGCGCATAAAGGTCCAATTTTTGCACTGAAATGGAACCAAAAGGGCGATAAAATTCTTAGTGCCGGAGTTGACAAGGTATTTTGTTTTTATTTTCACTTGTTTAAGTTTCACTGACATGTGAATTTCGAGATTCAAATTCATTAACTAGTTGTCTTTATGTTAAGAGAAATTTCAGACAACCATTGTTTGGGATCCACTGAAAGGTATACAAGTGCAAGTATTTCAATTTCACAGTAGTTCAGCGCTGGATGTTGATTGGATGTCAGATGATACGTTTGCATCTTGTAGTACGGATATGTGCATTCATGTATGTAAATTAGGTTGCGAGAAGCCGTTGAAAACATTCCAGGTAATCTTAATTTTTTTAATTCATTGAAATTATTAGATAAAATTGGAAGTGTGGAGCTTATTGTTCTT